AATTGCTGAAATCTATTATGTTTATGCCATGTGCTTGTTGGTGTTAGCAACATTCTGGATAATCACTAGCCAGTGGGATTATCCATAATTGCTGAAATCTATTATGTTTATGCCATGTGCTTGTTGGTGTTAGCAACATTCTGGATAATCACTAGCCAGTGGGATTATCCATAATTGCTGAAATCTATTATGTTTATGCCATGTGTTGGTGTTAGCAACATTCTGGATAATCACTGCCGCAGTGGGATTATCAATAATTGCTGAAATCTATTATGTTTATGCCATGTGCTTGTTGGTGTTAGCAACATTCTGGATAATCACTAGCCAGTGGGATTATCCATAATTGCTGAAATCTATTATGTTTATGCCATGTGCTTGTTGGTGTTAGCAACAACATTCCATGGATAATCACTAGCCAGTGGGATTATCCATAATTGCTGAAATCTATTATGTTTATGCCATGTGCTTGTTGGTGTTAGCAACATTCTGGATAATCACTAGCCAATGGGATTATCCATACTTGTTTATGAAATCTATTATGTTTATGCCATGTGCTTGTTGGTGTTAGCAACATTCTGGATAATCACTAGCCAATGGGATTATCCATAATTGCTGAAATCTATTATGTTTATGCCATGTGCTTGTTGGTGTTAGCAACATTCTGGATAATCACTAGCCAGTGGGATTATCCATAATTGCTGAAATCTATTATGTTTATGCCATGTGCTTGTTGGTGTTAGCAACATTCTGGCTAATCACTAGCCAGTGGGATTATCCATAATTGCAGAAATCTATTATATTTTTGTTTTCCAAACATTGTATCTGCATCCCATTTGTAACCATCTTTGCATGGCTTCAGGTGGCTGAGTTTTAAAATAAGAATTGTCTTTTCATTAGAGTGTTTTCCAACCAAAAAATGTCAGATTAAAAAAAAAAATTAATTGCTTATTAAAATACTATGTATAAAACTGTTATAAATCATACAATGTCCGGTGAGCATTCAATTCTCCAATCCTTTTTTCTTCATTATATTGGCTATCTCTTTCTGGCTGTCATCAATAATATTTTTAATGTTCATCTGTAAAACCACATGTTGGTATATTTTATCACTCCAGGATGTATCTGACTCCTTCTGCTATGCTCTATCTTTAAAAGATTCAGATTAAACTGAAGATTGAGTATTAAGCCATTTTTTATTTGTAACAAATAGCAATCCATCATTCTTTTTTGTGTGTCTAATATTACTGAACAGCTTCTCGCTGCTATACTTAATTTCTGGAAAATCTCCTTTGTTCTTCCTATTCACCTTCAGTGTCATATTTTTTATTACAGTGTAACCCGGATATAAGAGAGAAGTCTCTTATATCCGGGTTTCTCTTATATCTGGGTTTGGTCTATTTTATATACATTAACACAGGTTCTAATTTGGGACCAGAGAAAATCTCTCTTATATCAGGGTTTCTCTTATATCCGGGTTACACTGTATATAGCCAAATAGTGAAATTTGAGTACTTCTTTAATTTTGACATCCCCAATGTGCAATTTACGTTGTGGGCTGTCCCTTTTGCTCACTACCATGTATTACATCTTTTCACATTAAAAGGCTAATTAATCTGCCATCAACACAGAGCAGTCTGTGTAGCATATTATATTTACACCTATAAACCCTCTGATTCTATAGCAAATATCTTGGTGTTCAGATTAAATAATTCTGGTATGAAAATATATCCTTATTATGCTTGTTTTTTTTGTTTTTTTTGGTGTCTTACCTCATCTTAATTTTGACCCAAACTATTTAGCCATAACCCAAACATGCTGCCTTAATCCTAACCCTAATCATCCTTGAATAACTTATTTATAACTGAATTGATAATTCATTGAAGTTATGGAAGCAGCTCAAATCAATTTATCCTCTTCAGAGACCTCTGTGTATGGGTCAGTTATAATAGATTTAGTATAGGAGATAAAGAAGATATGAATGAAGGATAGGTTGCATGAGGGATATTTTGCTCAACATTGTAAGATACTGCAAAAACAAATTATTGACCTGAAAACAAAAGCCATATTCTTAAAAAGCCTTGTCACATCTAGACATTCATATGGATGTCATGCAGAGCATCCAGCTTGTTCAGAAATCTCTAAACTATCAACTATATCCAATTGTTTTCTCAGATCAATGATTAAAAATGGCTTCAAGTAAATAATTCCTTCCATTCTAAAATAAGATTATCCTTAAATCAGACCCAATAGATTGGTGCTACTGAACCACAAAGAACTTTACCAACTGAGAAAAACCACATTATTTGAAGACTTCAAACAGCAAAAATGGGGAGCACATGGAACTAAAAGGATAAATAATGACATCATCATAATGTTGACTTTCCAGACTATTTTAAATAAAAAGTTTGGAAGGAAACTTCCATCAGTATGGGAAAGAGCAATAACAGTTAGTGGACATGAGAAGTATATTTTTCTGAAAAACTGTTTTGTCTGTCAGTAATGCTAACTGTTCAGTCAATGAATGCTGAATTTTTTTCTGTATGGAAATGGTTAATCTCAGCAGTACCATTCAATTCAGTCAAATTCTTATAATTTTAGAATGTGTTGTATAAGAGTAAGTGTCATTACCGACACTGTGGTTTGAAACTAAATCACCAGTGAGTAACACAAGCAATTCCATTATTAAGTAGATCATGTGATCATAAAGGAAGTGAATAAATAGGAAGTAGTGTGATGACTATACGTATCACTGTTCACTCTTCATGTCTATCCTCTAATGCGATACGATCACTATTTCTTCTCTACCACTATACGTATCACTGTTCACTCTTCTTGTCTATCCACTACTGCTGTACGTTCACTCTCTCTACTCCTATACAGATTATGATTCTCTTCTGATCTTAATACTATTTGCCGATTACTACTTGAACAAGTATTACCAGCATCAATATTATTGGAAAATGTTACTACTACTAGTACTGGCATCTACAAAGTCTTGACTACAATGAGCATTTGTTAAAGTGATAATGAACTTTTGCTTGACATAGCAAAAGTGACAAGTAAAGCCAGGCCACATCACAAAACTGGTGATGATGATTCACAAAGAATCACAAAAGAATATTTTCTTAACCTTCTACAAAAAAAATTCCTTTCACCTTTTTTTATCTTTTCAGATATGCAAAGTAAGGAAGCTCTCCATCTTCTTCATTCAGTTAAATACTCTCACACATACTGTATAATTTAAGGTTTAATGACCAAATTTTATGGCAAAAAAAAACATTGCTGTGTCTCATAGTTTTCAATAATAGTTTTATTAGCTTTTGCTATCAGATTTTTACTGATTACAAGACAGCTTATTAACGATCTATTCTGATTTTCCCACATATTTGATGACAAATTAAACCCTTTCACCTTTAATATAATTAATATGGTATCTGATTAAATTGTAGCCTACCAGATATGTCAGCTTTGTATATTTTATCACTCCAGGAGGTATCTGACTGCTTCTGTTATGCTCTATCTTTAAAAGATTCAGATTAGACTGAAAATCGAGTCTTGTTGCCATATCTGGGCTTGAGCTGCCCACTCCTCACTTGATACAGTTTGAAATCATTTCTGCAGTTTTGTTTTGGTATCTTATTCTCTCCTATGCAGTCTTTTTCGCAAATATGCAATATTGCAACCTATTACTATTCTTTCACTATTTCTGAGGCAAATGTTCATATGAGCTCTATTTTTTAGTTTCCCCAGTTTTAGACCTTTCTACTAGGACACACCCTGCTACTTCCCCAGTATCAGATCACCCTCATTTTCTCTGTATTCTAAATTTAAAAATAATGTTCTCTTCATACAGCTTTTCCAAAAAACTGCTACTATGTGGAACATACTCCCCCATGGATGCTTCCCAAAAGATTAGAATCTTAACTACCCTCAAGTCAAACGTTAATCACTATCTGTTCTCTTTATCCTCATAATCTTTGTTCTTTCATATACCTTATTTATTATTACCATTTTATCTGTAACCCTCTTCCTTGATATATATATATATGATGTCACACATTATAAAATGAACAAGGTCTGACAATTATTTTTTAAGACATTTCTTATGTTTATACGTTCTTTTTATAACAAATGACATCATACATTATGAAATGGACGTCATTTGTTTACATTTGGATATGCATAGAGCAGATATGAATGTATGAAAGAAAATCATGGAGAATTGAGTTTAAAAGCAGTAAAATCGACCTTGCTAAGCGAACGCTCCTCTGTGGCCCAATCGGTTACAGCATGTCAGGCTACATGATGGTACCATATAGGATACAGGTTCAATTCCTGTAGGAGGACGCATATTTTCTATGAAAATTTCTTGGACATTCAGGCCAGTAAATGTTGCTAATACTATTTATTATAAACAGAGCATTTAGTTAAATATTTGTATCTATAAAAAGAATGTATAAACATAAAATATGTCATAAAATATATATATATATATATATATATATATATATATATATATATATATATATATGGACAGGAGCTTCATTTAACATTCTTGTGAGAGTCCAAAAGCATTTCTGCATTCTTGTAGGTAACAAATTATTTTACACCTTGTAATCCTCTTCTTATAGATAAAACATCACAAATCTTACTTCTCTGTTGTTATTTCCATTAGAAGTGTTTACTGTTTTAATTTTCACAGCTAAGACCCACTATACCACATGCAATGTAGTAATTCACCCCCCTTCATATTCCATTGGTGAGATATAAGTGCCACTCAAGTAGCTTCTACCCATGAACTGCTGCTTTGTGGAACTGACTCCCAAAAGGATGATTCCCCAATCACAATCAACCTGTTCAAATATAGGCTCAACTGTTATCTTCCCCACATATCTCCATAAACTGTATCTTTTACTCTGTAACCTTCTAACTTTAGTGTCTCTCGAGCATGTTTAACTCTTTACTCTTATTTACCTCTTTCTTATTTGTCTAAATATCTCATGGACAGTTTCTTTCTTTCTTTCTTTGCACTTCTTGTCACTCCCAGTCATTCGATTACATATTTCTTCATCTTTCTCACTATTGCTCACGTATTCCTTTATTTGCATTCTCCTCATCCAACAACTTTTTTTTCCTTTTCATTTTTTTCCTTAACCCTCCTATTCTGTTGATAATGGATGACTTAAGATACCATCCAACCACTGTCTGTTCTGTATCCCCCACAGGCACATACTCACAATATTTATTTCCAGAACTTTGTCCATCCCCCATCGTCCATCCTCATCAGCCAATTTCTTGAATCACCATCCCTCTTCCCCCTCTCTCTCTAAGTTCATTCGTGATAAAGCAAGCAATGATTCATCTCTCAGGTCAGAAGACAAACAGAAATTTCATTACCCATGGGTTAAAGTATCTTCTCTCTAAGTTTCTTTGTTTTTTTTTTTTATTTTTAAATTTATCTTTCTTTATTTCACTAAATTTTCTTCATTTCTGTATTTCTTTTTCTTCACCTTTTTTTTTCCCTATTTTCCTGATTTTAAATTCCCAATTTTCATCCTTTTTCTCATTTGTTTAATTTTTAACAACTTCCTTTTTTCATCTTTTTCATGACATTTTTTTTTTTGTTTTCATTCTTTTTTTCACAAGTTTCATTCATTTCTATTCTTTCTTGCATCTTCACTTTTTCCTTTCTTTTCTTTCACTCAAAAATTCCTTCATATTTCTCTTTTCTCTTATGAGCATTTTTTTCATCTTTACTCATTATTCATCCTCCTTCCATTCTCTCTTTCTTTTTTCCCTTCTTCTTTTTGCTTCTCATTGTTTACTTGCTTCCTTTCATTCCTTCTTCTATTCATTCCAGTTTTTTTTTTCTTCATTAATTCGTTTTACTTTCTTGATATTATTTTCTATTCATCTTTCTTCATTTCATACTTATCTCATTTTAAGCAACAGCATTTCTTTTTTGTTACTTTTTTCTTTCCTTATTATTCCCCCCTTTCTCTCCCTCTCTCTCTGAATAATGTCTTTCTTATCCTCATTTGTATTTTTCTTTAATTTTTTTTTTCAAAAATCTTTCATTCACTAATGCTTTTTCCTCTTTTTACTTTAACTATTGTATTTTTATTTTTCACTACTTTTTTTCTTAAATCTCTTTCCTTCTTTATTTTATTTTCTTTCTTTCTTTCTGTATATTCTTTTCTTTAAACATCTTTTTTCTTGTTTTCTTTCTTTTTTATCTTTTTAATATTTTCTTACTTTTCTTTTCTTTCACAATCTTCTTTTTGCTTCTTCATATTTCCTTACTTTCTTTGTCACCATTTTTCTTCTTTCTTTCTTTCTTTCTTTCCCTATATTTCATTGTTTTGTTTATTTTCTCCCTTAACTGATTTTTTCTTTTTTTTTTCTTTTGTTTCTTTCTTATTCTACATTTTCTTTCTTTACCTTTCTTCACCACTGACTGATTGCTTTTCAATGAAAACCAGAAGCAATTTCTTATAGTGGTTGTTGCCAACAAAATTGTTTCATCAACTCATCTCTGGGAAAAGTGCTTTGTCATCCATGTCATTGCCATCATGTGATTAATAGTATTGATTAACTGTATCAATAACGTTATTGGCAACCATTTTCATATCAATAATAGGTTGTTACTTTCCACAGCTATTTACAATTGAAAAAATTCCCACAAGCTAACAATTCAAAATATTTGTTTTTTTCCTTTAAGGATATTGTCTTTAGAATATTAAATACCTTAACCAGATAATTATAAACTTTTATCATTGCCTTTCTTTTATGCAAAAGGATTGTCAGCAAATTTCAAAAATGTTAAATTGTTTCTATACCGAAACAAAGTGTTGTGATTAGTTTTTAAGTCAGGTCATCTAAATGAGATCAAATTTTACATAATCTCAGTTAAGTGCCATACATGATAAATGCTTGGGCGATCATGTCTCTTTCAAATTCATGACTGATAAATCAGTAGACTTTCCCACCTGAGGCTGCTGTTTCTTTCTGCAGTAGACTGGAAGAGATGGATTCAGAACTTTCCAAAGGTATTTGCACATAAGTAAATGTAATGAACCTGATTGGAATTTGAACTCAGCTTTTGATTTCCCATGCTGAGCCATTATCCCTGACATCACCAAATCCATTACATAATCTAACAATTGCAAGACATTTTCATTAGGAAACATCCATATTTCTTTCTCTTTATTTTCTTTCTTTAATTTTTTTTCCTTTTATTCTTATTATATCTTTTGAAATTTCCTTCTTCCCTTTCACTGGTTTAATTTCTTACATCGACCAATAGGTTTTCTTCTTTTTCCCACCATTTTCTCTTTACATTCTGTCAAGTATTATTAGATGAATAAAATGGTTTCATGTTAAAACTGGGCTTGCATTATAAATATTCAGCAGCCTAGTTTAATAAATAATTCATTATTGGTGGCTGTAATATTAACAACATTAGATCTGCAGATGACATAATGTTGATAGCAGATACAGAAAAGAAACTGCAGGAACTCCGACAAAAGGTAGTAAAGGAAAGCAAGAAGAAAGGACTGAAGATCAGTTGTAAGAAGTCAGAATACATGGTTGTCAGCAAAAGGAACAGCCCAGTTACAAATTGGAGATACCAAAATCAAACAAGTACACAAAATTTAAATATGTTGGAAGTATTTGAACAGAGGATGGAAAATATTTCACTTAAAGCTGAAGGCACATTGGGATAAGGAAATTTGCCTTCCAAATTTTAAGCAAATATTAAAAAATAGTAAAATTTTATTAGAAATTAATAAAAAAACTTTTAATATAAGTCCTCCAAAATGGCAGTGAAGCTAGACATTCTCCTCATAGATATATAAGAGAATTTAGGCAACAGAATTGTGATTCTCTGGATGGCTGCTGAGAATACCATGAATCGAACATGTGAAAAATGACAAAGTTTTAGAGAAAATGGAAACAAAAAGGACACTTAATATTAGAAAAATATAGTTGAAATTGTTATAAAATAAAATAAGACATATCTCAGCTGATTTACAGGCAAATAAACTAACATACTCAAGAGCAAGAGCCAGATATGAACGGGACAAGGCCCCGTCACAAAATGACCATATTTACACGTTTACACATGTTCCTGACACACGAGTCCCGGTCGAAAAATAAAATAATATTTTAAAGTGTTTCTATTTTTTGACCAATAAAAATGCTTCCCTCCTAATTATACTTGTGTCGTTTTTCGAGCCTGTTAAGCCATAAAAAAACGCCATAAAAGTGGTCACACAGAAGTACAACGGGTAGTCAGCAGGAGGCCAGGGAAGAGACCTGTCACAGTCAGGCTGAGCAGTCAACAGCAGCCAGCAGCAGTAGCACGACGCCAACCAGCAAGAACTACAATGAGAGATCAACCCAGATTGGAAGCCGGCCTATGAATTATACCACAAGGTAGCTGTCACAAAACCACACGTATCAATATGCAAGATCCTGACAAGAAAGATTTTCTAGCACAACATTTGAACCAATTTTTCTAGCAGCAGACCTAGCAATTGATTCAGTTATAATCTTTCCATTTCATGTCAGCAGAAAACATTAGCCTGAGAAGGCAAGTGTCACTCTCCTGGAGGTTAGTGTCAGCCATGCTTATGAAAGGTAAAAAGAAATCTCTGAGACAATTAAAAGAGACCAATTTCGTTTTGGCAGCATTAAAATTAACAAGCTATTTTTTACCCCAGTTAACAACAGATTGCAAGTAAATTTTGAAAATAATATATAATAATGCATATAAGATAATAATGATTAAATGTTTGGTAATACATATATTTTATGATATAGAATTTAATTTAAAATTTAGAGATTCTTGATAAAAAAAAAACAAAGATGAATCTGCTATATTATTGGTTTTGACCTGTATCTCAGCTTCAGACACTTTCACACCACCATAATGTTGCTTCCATGTTTCCTACTTGCTTGATTTTGACATCTCCAATTTGTAGCTCATGTCTTTGTACAAGTGATAGTAAGTCCATTTTTTTTTTTTTTGCTTTCTTTTACTACCTTTTCAAGGAGTTCCTGTAGCCTTTTTGTTAGTGTCTGCTATCAACAGTGTCATCTTTACATCTTATGTTGTCAAGATTGTGCCCTCAAGTAATAAATCCTGGTTCTCTACTTATTGCCTCACTGTATGGGTTAAATAACTTTGGTGAGAAGACACATCCTTCTCTTATGTCTCTTAGCATTTTCCTAATATTACCCAATTCATTTTCTATGCAAACGTTTTACTATCAATATATATTTTTAGATCATTCTCATCTCTTGCCCAAAGACATAAAGTTTTTCTTGCAATTCAGGCTTACAGCCATATTGCATTGAAATACCAGTTTTCATATGATCACCAAAGTTAAACAATGGTGAGCTTCGTCAGTACCTAAATTGTACACCACTTGAGAATAGCAGGTGTTGTAAGCTTGGATGTGCAGGTGGTGTAATGGATAATGGCTCTAAATTAGAAATCAAAGAGCCAAGTTCTAATTTTAGACACCTCCATTATCTTCACTTATGCGCAAATACCCTTGGGAAAGGTATGAATCCACCTCTTCTCCCCCCCACCCCCCAGTTATGAATTAATTAGTAGGAATTGTGTCAATAAATAATTATCTGTAAATAATCTTACAAACTAAAATAATTATTTTCTGGCTTTAAATAACCTGCAGAGGGTTGATAAACTGAAAAAAATCAAATCAAACTTAGTGGTTCAAATAGATATTTCTGTTATACATTATCAATGCTTTTGTATCATCTGTGAATCAGAGGTATACATTTTTATGCATTTGTATTACTCTCCCTAATATCATTCTGATCATAAATATTGCATTTCTTTAATGAAAACACACTGTTCTCATTGTATTTACCTTCTACATACATCAGAATCTGGATGCATATTTATGTGGCTCATTAAGATGACTGTCTGATGAAGCTCATTTAAGTTTATACTTGGCTGCATAGACAGTGCTTTCAACCAAAATGTAACAAAAATGTGAACTTTGGACAATTTCTCCACAATTTTTCAGCTAGATATGCAACAACTTAGTTTAAAACTGGAAAAATTCAATAAAAAATTAAAAATAGATCTGTTCGTTTGAATTTGAATTCAATTTATTTAAAAAATATATATATATATATATATATATATATATATATATATATATATATATATATATATATATATATATAATTAACAAATTGGAGATTTCAGAAAGCCCTGAGATCTCCGATTTGTTCTTAAAAACAGGAACTACAGATGAAGATTTTCAACAAGCAGGAAAATAAAAGTAGCAAGGTACTTATTGTACAGTTTAGAGAAAACAGGATCCAGTTCAGGAGTACATTTCTTAAGGATTATTTTATAGATACCTTTGAGGAGATCTAGTTTAGAGATGATAGCAGAAAGCATGGATGGAGTTATGATTACAGCCTCTCGTAGTTTGTCAAAAAGGGGTAGAAGTCTAATAGGCCAATAGTTAAAAGGGTTGGACAGTTTGCCTGAATTCTTACAGACTTGAACAGCAGTTGAGGATATCCAACAAGCAGTTTAGAGAGAACCAGAGCCAATTTGGAAGCACACTTCATAAGGACTATTACAGGGATACCATTAGATCCACATGCTTTGCAAGGATTGAGATTAGAGATTATAGCAGGGACATTAGAAGGAATTATATGCATATCATTCAACAGGGACTTAGTTCTAAATAGGAAAAATCATATGAAATGTTTTTCTATAATAATATCAGTAATGCATTTAAGTGAATATGAACTACTAGTATATTAAAAGGAGGAATACATAGATTCTTATGGAAAATAAAATCTTAATTTAAACATGAATTCTGACCATCATGGTTTTGTAGAAAATTCCCTATGGTATTTTGCCATTGTGATTCGTTCTTTTATTTTGAAATCAAGAAATTTCTGCTTCTTGATGGAAATGCAAGACAGTGAAAACAGCTGTTCTTGAACCATTGTGCATGT